CTACTCCCCTCTCATTTAGCTCTGGGATGGAGCACATATTGAAAAATATTGGTTTTTTGTAAGTGCTTCAACTGACTACAAAGAGATTGGTGGGTAATACTGGTGCTCCCTTTCTAGTTAATTGGAGCAATTGCAAAAAAGTTGAATAAAGTCCCTGAGTCTTAAATATAACACACACACACACACACACACACACACACACACACACCAAGCTCATTTTGGCTGGGTCTTCTTAGCATGGGGAAAAGGGGAAATTTCTGCAAGAATCTTGGTTTTCACAATCCTAGTCTTAACATTCTTTGCAAATATTGACTCCCCCCCCCAAATTGGGGCCACCTCCCCCTGCAGAAGCTTCTTTTTCATGGGGGGGGAGGATCTTGGAGACCCATTAAAATAAATTAAAGTATGAAGAAGGTGGAAAAACCAGATTCCTTTCTGACAATGCAATTGGTCACTTTCCAGAGTTTTGAACAGATTTGGGCATACCAAACAAGATCCGTCGCACGGCTGATCTCCAAGAGTCTGAGTCTGGCTTTTCCCAGGAACCCACTGTGGGTCCCGGGTTTAAAACGTTTGAAACCTCGAAAGAATCCAGATCCAGTCGCCATTTACCCCCTCTGCCCTCTCACCTCCGTGATGATGGTATTAATGAAAATGCTTCGGTCGTAGACCCATCCGTCCTTACATGGCTCCGTCGCCATCCCCGTCTCATTGCCACCCACGGCGCTGGCGTTGGGCAGATGCCACTCGGCTGCAACAAACCGGCGGCATTTCTCAGGTTGGCCCCTGGCGTCTTTGGGAATCCACCAGAGGTCTTCCTCACTGGTTGGCATTCGAGTCCGGTTAGCCTGGTGAGGGGTGCCATTGTGCACTAGCGCGACCCGGCAGTGGTGATCGGGAATGCCAGCTGAAAAGTTCTGCAGCAGGTTATGGCTGGCCATCAGTAAAACAGGGGTTACCAACAAGGTCACCTGAAGGATCTGGAAGCGCCCCATGCCCCCAATCTGATCCAGGAGCTCTGCAAACGTCATGGCCGAAAAGGAGGACGTTTGGAGAGCGAGAAGGAGGGTTTCCAGTTAGTCGTTCCTTGGTGAGGTGAACGTTTGAGGCCAGATTCTCTGGCGATCGTGCCAGCCCCATCCACAGCCTTTTTCTGGCGCTGGAGGAAAACCTTTCTTCTAATTCAGGCTCAGCATTTTGGAAAGTTATTCCCCAGCCCACTTGGCAGCAGCTGAAAACATTGCTCGCGGGGCCACACGGGTGGAGGAATGAAAACACGCTCTTGGGACAACCTGGTGTGCAAGTCTGAGCCGGGCACCCCCAGGCAAGGCGGATTTTTCCCCCCCTTCCTCCGCGAGGGACACCCGAAACCATGCGTGTGGGGTTGGACGATGAGCTGTGATCTCGGGGATGCTCAGGTGAAGTTGCAAAACATGGGGGGGGGGGCTGTCTCTCCTGGGGTGGGATTATGCAAGACCTCACCATTGGGGTCAAGGTTCTTAGGAGTTTTTGAAGGATTAGCTGGCGAGGAAAGGAAAGAGCAGAAAATGCAGCCATTCATTCAATGGGAGCAAGATGCTAGGGGGAACAAATATTAGGCAGTGGGAGGGGGGAGCAAAGAAAGGAGAGCTGGCAGGGCTGTCTTGGCTGGAAGAAATGTGACTTTTTGTTCCTTGTCCCGTGCTCCCTCTCTTAGCAAGGAGGAAATCCAAGCCGTGGTCAACCACATGCCCCAGAAATGAAAGAGGAGGCAATTCTTCGTTAAATTACTCCAGCGAGATGGGAGGGGGGGCTTTGAAACTGCAAAAATTGGCGGCTCCCCTGGAGGGGACGACCCCAGAAAGGAAGCTGAGATTTTTGGAAACCATATAGTCCCCATTTTGGTGCCGAGATGTGATAGCCTTCTGTGTGTTTTTTTTACAGTGGGCTATTTAGGTCTTACTCAAACTTTGTTTCTGAAGCTGGTGAACAATTAACTAACAAGAATTGCATAGACAATCCTGTGTTATCCTGGTTAAACAAAGTCCTCAGTATAAGACATCAGCGCTTTTCCCAGCTTATCTGTCTCACAGATGCTGTCCAAAGAGTACGCAATCGTCTTTTTTTTTCCTGGGCGAAGGAGATTTGGTTGAATATTTGGATTTCAAAGCAGTTCGATCAAGTCTCCAAGCCAGGACGTTTTGGGAGTCAAACTGGCAAGGTGAGGCCAATCCTTAAATGGAAGGCAGTTCAGTGTGGCCAATTTGGGGACTTCTGCACATGCACAGAGACACTTCTTCTCTGAATCAGTTTGGAACTCTGAAATTAACCTGATGGCAAAGAGAAATCAGATTTTGTTTCATTTGCTTCCCCTTAAACGGATTGTCTTGATATCTAAGAAAAAAGAAAAAAAACCCTCTTTTTTTGGCCCAAAATCTTCAGCTTATCAGACGAAGAATAAAACTTCTTCAGGGAGCTTTAATTCTTTGCAAAAATATTCACTTGTTGCTTTTCACTGTCTTCGCCGGATATAGCCCTCACTTATGATCAATGTTCCCATGGGCCCCTGTTCCAGAACATAACCAAGTTAGTTGCTAACCTGGTCAAATTTCTAGTCTGTTTCAGTAGTGTACAACTATACAAATTGGGTCTAAAGCAGTGTTTCTCTAACTTGGCAACTTTAAGAGGTGTGGACTTCAACTCCCAGAATTCCCTACCCAGCATGAGAACTGGGGAATCCAGCATGGCTGGCTGGGGAATTCTGGGAGTTGAAGTCCACACATCATAAAGTTGCCAAGTTGGAGAAACCCTGGTCTAAAGCCTCCATTTACAAGAATACAAACTCTCCACAAACTTTTTCTAAGAAATGCAGAAAATACTGCCCAGCCTTCATTACATCACTAGCCCTTTCCCTATTGGCCACGTGGAGAGAAGTAGGCATGATTTGATGATTGCAGCCAATCCAAGCTTGGGAGGTGTGTCCTCTGCTGCCCCACCTTGGCACTGAGTTCCACAATGGATAGACAGGCCTCTTTTCTCAGCCTCTTGTTCCCTCTAGGTCGTTTTCTTGGAGGACTGGGTAGAACAAACCGGGCATTTCTCTGGTTTTTGTGTTTCCGTAATCTGGATGAAAACTGAGCCCTCTTGGAATTAGTTGTCTGGATGAATTACTTTTTTAGTGTTCCCACAACACACTAACCTCCCCCCCTTCCACTGACCCCGTTAAATATGGTGGGTTAACTCAGTCATTGTGTAGTTATCTTATTAGGTAACATGAACAGCTGACTGCTGCTTTTCTAATAGAAGGATTGTAAACATATTTGCACACCTAAAACCTTTTTCATGAGATATCCCATGGTTTGGTTTTTATTCCAAAGCGTGGTCAATTATTCTGCCCACCTTCAGTCCTGCAATTTGAGAGGTGTGTACATCTTGCTATATTTCGGTCACTTCCCGAATTTTCACTGTGTCCCTTTCCTTCCTGAAAGACGAGGATCTCCTCTGATTTACCTCTCCAAAGAAAACTTGTGAAAGGAATCAGGACTGGGTTCATACATGTCAATCTAGGTAAAAATAGAGGTTGGGTCATTGATGGGGCTGTGGCAATTCCAACCATCATCTCAAGAAGTTGTAAGAAGTAGACCGTCTCTTTAAGCCAAAATGTTGTCTGTTTATTTGGGCATCGTAGATTCTACTCACTTGGGTATTTTTTTTTTGTTAATGAAAGCATTCTATCACTTCGATGCTCAAGTTCATTCATCGCCACCATTTTTCTCTTTCTTCTTTTTCCCTCCCCAGCAAGGAAGAGGAACCAATTGTTCATATCAAAAACCAGACCCATTTTGAAAGGGAGCTCTGGACGGAGTATAGCTCAGCGTCTGTAGGTTGCCCACCCCTATTTAGAATGTTAGGAAATGCCTCAACTTGGATATGCTCTAAGAAAGCAGGAAGGTTTTTAAAGACTATTACTGAGTTTAACAATACAGTGGAACCTCGGTTTATGAACTTAATTCGTTCCGTGACTCTGGTCGCCCCCTGAATTGGTCGCAACCCGAAGGAAATTTCTCCATAAGG